AGCTGCCACCCGCATGATTGCCAACAGCTTGAGCCGGGACTCGCCGCCCGCTCCGCCTGGCCGCAGGCCGGACGCCAGCGCTTCCAAGATCTCCATCACCGTGTCCAACAAACTCGCTGCAAAAAACGCAAAAGCAGGTACGGAGGGAAGCCTTTCCTGGCGGAAAAGGTGGGAAGCGGTTGCCACGCTGCAAGGTGCAGCTCTTTTCCCCTTCAATCTGAATTGAAATCGGGCGGGGAGTGTTTTAAAAGCCTGGATCTGCTGTGTTGTCCTGATCCAATTCCTGCTCGTAAGTAGCTGGAGGCCAAGGGGGAGGCCCGAGGCTGCCGGGCGCTGGCGGAAATGCCCTTTTCCCGGGTATTTCTTGGTATGATGAGGAGCAGCACCCCAAAGTTGACAGCCTCGTGCTTCTCCTTGGCTTTCGAGGTCCGTGTGACGCCGTGGACGAGGGCCCCGCGGTGCCCGTGAAGCGGCGCCGGGTGACGGCGGAGATGGAGGGCAAATACATCATCCACATGCCCAAGGGCACCACTCCCAGGACGAAGAAAATCCTGGAGCAGCAGGCGGCCAAAGGTACCTGTTCCCCAGCGCCTCCGGATCCAGTTAGTCCGCGGAAACGGTCGATTTTCCCGTGTGCCCTGCTCGTGCTTTTCCAATAAGGTCCCGGTGTTCCCCGTGGCCTCCTCCGGCTCCCTTCCCGTTTCCAAAGCGCCGTCGTTTTCCCTCGCGATCCGCAGGTCTGCAGAGGACGTCGGTGTTTGACCGCCTGGGCGCTGAGACGAGGGCCGACACCACCGCGGCGGGCAAGGTGAGCGGAGAGCACCGCGGGGCTGCCCTGGCTCGGGGAGCCTCTTTCCTCATGGAAAAATCACCTCAAAGCTGGAAAAACACCTTGGAACGGTGCCAAGGTGCCCTGGGAAAGGGCTGCTGTGGGATGGGGGAAGCTCGAGAGCTGTTGGTGGCTCCAGGGTGACCTGAGCAAATCGTTCCCGTGCTTGTGCTGTGATGCCTCGAATAGGGGGTACGAGAGATTGCTCCCTTTTCTGGGAGCAAAACGCTCAGCAGGGAGGTCTTGGGGTGCACTTTTCTGCAGCGTGCGGAGTCACCCCTAAGTAAAAGTGCAAGGAAACACCGTTTTAAAAGCATTTGTGACCTGGGAGGATTGCAGAGGGGGATTTTTCCACTTCTGCTTCCTCAAAAGTCACCAAACCCAAGGACTTCGTTGGTGTCCTGCTCCAAGGCGACCTCCCTGCAGCGATGCCGACGTTCCCTGTGTTGCTTCCAGCCCACGGGGGTGTTCAGCCGGCTGGGCGACGCGCTGGACGGGGACGGGGCGGCCGACAGCGACGACGACGACGCCTGCTCCGTGCTGCAGTACGCCGGCGTCCTGAAGCCGCTCCCGAAGGGAAGCGCCGGGCTGGGAGCCGCCGTCAAAGC